AAAAAAAAGAGGTGAAAGATCTATACAATAAAAACTACAGAACCTTGAAGAAAGAAATAGAAGAAGACCTTAGAAGATGGAAGGATTTACCTTGCTCATGGATTGGTAGAATTAATATTATTAAGATGGCCATACTACCAAAAGCACTTTACAGATTCAATGCCATTCCCATCAAAATCCCAATGACATTCCTTGCAGAAATAGAAAAAGCAATCATGAAATTCATCTGGAAAAAATAAGAGACCCAGAATAGGTAAAGTAATTCTAAGCAGGAAGCGTGAAATTGGTGGTATCACGATTCTAGATTTTAAACTATACTATAGAGTAATAGTAAGAAAAACAGCATGGTACTGGCACCAAAACAGGCTAGTAGACCAATGGTACAGAATAGAGGACACAGAGACAAAATCATGTCAATTTACAAAATCCACAAAATTACAAACCTTATATTAGACAAAGGTGCTAAAACCATGCAATGGAGAAAGGATAGCATCTTCAACAAATGGTGCTGGGAGAACTGGAAATCCATACACAACAAAATGAAATTGAATCCCTTTCTCTCATTATGCACAAAAGTCAACTCAAAATGAATCAAGGAGCTAGGAATCAGACCAGAGACTCTGTGACTAATAGAAGATAAAGTTGGTCCTAATCATCATCACGTGGGGACAGGCCCCAAATTTCTTAATAAGACACCTATAGCACAAGAGTTAAAACCAAGAATCAACAAATGGGACAAATTCAAACTAAAATGTTTTTTCTCAGCAAGAGAAATATTATGTGAGGTAAATAGGGAGCCTACATCCTGGGAACAAATTTTTACCCCTCAAACATCAGATAGAGCTCTAATCTCTAGAGTATACAAAGAACTCGAAAAGTTAAACAACAAAAAAGCAAATAATTCAATCAACAAATGGGCCAAGGACTTGAACAGAAACTTCTCAGAAGAGGATATACAATCAATCAACAAATACATGAAAAAATGCTCACCATCTCTAGCAATCAGAGAAATGCAAATTAAAACTACTCTAAGATACCATCTCACTCCAATAAGAATGGCAGCCATTATGAAGTCAAACAACAATAGTGCTGGCGAGGATGCGGGGAAAAAGGTACACTCATACATTGCTGGTGGGACTGCAAATTGGTGCAGCCAATTTGGAAAGCAGTATGGAGATTCCTTGGAAAGCTGGGAATGGAACCACCTTTTGACCCAGCTATTCCCCTTCTTGGACTATACCCAAATGACCTAAAAAGAGCATACTACAGGGACACAGCCACATCAATGTTTATAGCAGCACAATTCACAATAGCTAGAATGTGGAACCAACCTAGATGCCCTTCAATAGATGAATGGATTTTAAAAATGTGGCATTTATACAAAATGGAATATTACTCAGCATTAAAAAATAACAAGATCATGGCATTTGCAGACAAATGGATGGCATTAGAGCAGATTATGCTAAGTGAAGTTAGCCAATCCCTAAAAAACAATGCCGAATATCTTCTCTGATATAAGGGGGGGGGTGACTCAAAATGGGATAGGGAGGAAGAGCATGAGAAGAAGACTACCACTAAATAGGGAAGAGAGGTGGGAGGGAAAAAGAGGGAGAAGGGGAGTTGCACGGAAGATGGAAGGAGAACCTCATTGTTATACAGAATACATATATGATGTTGTGATGAGATAAAGAAAAAAAGTGTGTCACATTAGATTGGATAGAGAGAAAGGATGGGAGAGGAGGGGAGGAGTAGGGAGGATAGGAAGGGCAGCAGAATAGAATAGACAATATGATTGATGTATGTACATTCCATGTATGTATTATATGTCAAAATACATTCTGCTGTCATGTATGACTAAAAAAAAATAAAAATAAATTGTATGGTTATAAAACAGTCCCCAAAAAAGAATTTCAAGACCAATTGGTTCACAAGTGAATTATGCCACATAGTTAAAGAATTAATACTAATCCTTCTCTTTTTATGTATTGTTTTTAGATACTCATGACAGTAGGGTGTATTTTGACATATCATAAATAGATGGAGTGCAACCCATTCTATTTAAATTCTCACAAAAGATGGAAGAAAAGGGAGCATTACCAAAGTTTTTTTTGAAGCCAGCATCACCATATATTAGAGGCAGAAAAAAATACCACACACACAAAAAAATGGTACAGACCAATGTTACTGATGAACACATTTGAAAAAGTCCTCAATAAAAAATTGGCAAAGTAAATTCAACAGTACACTAAAACACTTTGACCAGGTAGGATTTAACCTGGGTATCAAGAATGGGTCAACATACATAAATCAATAAGTATGACATAGAGCATTAATAAAATTATTAATCATCACCACAACATCCTATTATGTGCACAAAAAGGATTTGACAAAATTCAGCATCCTTTCACAACTAAACCTGTCAATAAATTAGGCATAGAAGGGACTCATTTTAAAATAAATGTGCTGAAAGAAGTAAAACTCTTTCTGTTTGCAGATGGCATGATCCAACAATATGTAGACTACACACACTCACACACCCCTTCCAACACACACACACACACACACATAAATTCAGAAAATTCTCAACATAAAAATAACAATACAAAAATCAGTTACATTTCCATATACTAAGTAACTCAAAAGGAAATGAAGATAATACCACGCATAGAAAAAACCCACAAGTAACAACGTACTCAATGGTGAGAAATTGAAAGCTTTTTGTTTAAGAACTGAAATTAAGCCATTCTTGACACTTCTATTTAGCATTTTACTCAAAGATAGTAATTCAATAGTAATTTCATGACTTTTATTTATATTAGTCCTAGTAAATGCAATAAGGCATTAAAAGAAATAAAATGCATCCAAATTGGGAAGAAAAAAAATAGAATGGTGAAGGCATTCTGGGCCCTTGTCTCTCAGCTCCTCAGGCAGGAGGAGGCAATCCTCCTGAGGCAGGAGGATTGTGAGTTCAAAGCCAGCCTCAGTAAAAGTGAGGCACTAAGCAACTCAGTGAGACCCTGTCTCTAAATAAAATACAAACTAGGGCTGCGGATGTGGCTTGGTGGTTGAGTGCCCCTGAGTTAAATCCCCAGTACAAAAAAAAAAGAAAAAAAATCTTAGAGCAAGACACACAAGATTCATTCATCACTGAAGAGTTAAATGTAGAAGTCGAATCCATTTCATTTTGATTGGACTATTTCCTTTACTTTTTAATTTGATTAAATTTCAGGATTCTGACCTTTTTTAAACCTTTCAAATCTCTACACAGAAATCACTTCTCTTCCCCTTGTTCTCTTTCTACGCAATTTTGTGGTTTGGAATAGGGAAGTCAGCCTCAGTGTGAGACTTAGTTCTGAAGGTCAAAGAAACTTTCCTTTGCAAATCAGAAAGTGACCCAGAGGCTTCCAGTGCTTCAGCACAAGGCACTTGCTTCTGAGACTCTTGGAATAGCTCACAGCTTCTCCACAGCCATGAGTGGGGAAAGGAAATACAATTGTATAGACAGCTGATCAGAGAACACCAAGAACCAGTGGTGGCACCTAAAATATGGCACATCCCACTGAGAGATGTGTGATCCCTGTTTGAAAGGGTTCCAGGAGGAGCAGCTAGAGCTAGATCAAGAGGGAAGACGGTGAGAAATCCTCAGGCCCTGAGTGTGGATGCACCAATACTAGCTGTGAGGGAAAAGAGGGGTCCAGACCTAGTGGCTGGGAAGCTTTCCTTACTTAAAACATCAATTTTTGAGTGTCAAAAGGAAACAGTGCCTCTCACCAATGCTTATAAAGCATCTCTGGGTGGGTAAGAAGTCCTGTGGCTGGATTTCACCTTGGCATGGAAAACGCAAACCCAGATGGCCTTAAACTCCTTAACTTAAAGATGGAAGTCACTGTTGAACAAATCCATCCATGATAGACTTGGTTCCAGAGATGGTGACTCCCATGCAAAGTGTTCATGGGGTGACCTTTGCACTTAACTTTTAAGTACGAATAAAAGCTTGGGGTTCTTCCTGGAGGACAAAGCCTCTCGCACAAGGAAGGGGCATTGTATCTGGTGTGAGTGGATCATCAGGGGCTCTCCTCTAGGGTGCAGGGCCAGAGCCACCCTGTGCCCTCACAGCTCCACTGTGACTGGCAGATGTGAGAGTATGTGGTTCATAGGTTGGTGGAATTAGAGTATTTTCTAATATTCTTTTACAAAATAATGAGTTCTTTACTAAAAACGATGTACTTTCATTAGAAAATAATGGCATCTTTGACATTTCACATCACTTCATTTCTACTCTGAAAATTCTAGAATCACAAGACTTTCATGTGACTTCTGTGGGGGAAAGAAGCAACATTATTTTCTTTCTTTCTGTGGTTTGTTTTCAGTCCATGAAATGATCTGCTAATATCTGTCCTGTTGACACTCAGGCACAGCTCCTTTTTCCACATTTTAGCAGTTACCTGATGAATTTAAGCCTCCTAATATCACTGTGTAGGGAAGACTGTGCTGTGGATGTGCAGAACTGAGAGGCCCACAACACATGGGATGGAGAGACAGCCGGACACATTCAAACTGCACATACATGATTCCTTTCATGCTTTTTTGTTGTTTGCTTTTTTATGTTGATTTTGTCCTCCTAATTTCCCACTCTAGTAAAACAACTCTCCTAAATATTGTGAATGCTTAGAATAATAGACCTCTTACTTCTTCTTTTGGAAAGACTATGGACTGTTTCTTAAAAGAAGGAAGGACTCCTTCAATTTTCAATGTACAGAAGTAACCATGGGTCTGAAAATTTCAGGAGACATCTATACTAACGTCATCATCTCCCAAAACATCCTTGTCTTGGGAAGACCATAGTTCAGAGGTGTCAAGTTCAACATTTCTAAATTGGGAAATAAGCCATGAATCTTCCCATGTGACATATGGCATTGGAAGACAAACATCATTCACCTTTGCCTACATATGACTTAGCCATCAAGTTAAAGCCCTTAACAATTCCCCCCCTTATTGCATCAGTTACCTTTTTGGGAGTAATAGGAAAGGCACATGTACATTGACTTCAAAAGTAATATTATGCATGGAACTGAAAATAAAACATTCACTCTAAGGTAGTCCTTATTAAAGAGGGCACCTGAAAGAGAGGACAGAAGTGACATATGAAGTGACATCTAAAAGCTCATTTGCCTCACTTACCACTGTGCTCCTATAATCAACCCTGATTTCTCCACAGAGAAATCTCACCTAAGGGTGCCTTTGTTGCACACAGGACACATCCTTCTACAATGACTCCAAGGAGTGAGCAATGAACAAATAACCAGGAAACCTGTGTTTTAGATCCACATTTTACTTACTCCTGGTTCTACTGATGTCCGTCAACATCTAATTATCAATAACCAAAATAATTCCCCTTTGTTGAATTTTCAGGAATTTTTAAATAGTAGTACTCATGCTGAATATTGCATGACAAAGGTTTTTGCTGCTGCTAATCATTTAAGATTCACAAAAACCTTGAAGTATGATTATATTCATTTCTAAGATGTAAAAACACTGTAGATCAGAAAGATCAATGACATCCTTTAAGTTACTGAGCTAGAATTCTGTTAAACTTACACATCAATATTGTGAAGGTCTAATGAAATAATAAACATTAAAAGCCTTTAAAGCTGCAGTATATGTTTCAATTGTGAATTGTCATTGTTCTTGTAATATTTTTTTTTTCTAAATCCTTCTTCTTAGCATCTGACAATATCTGTATCATCAAAACCCAAAACAATGATAAAGGGTCACATTCAAAGGGTGTTTGGGAATGTAGTAAGCTACTTAACATTAACTATCCCATTATTGGATAATAGTTAATACTTAACATTAACTATTCTCTTTATGTTTCGCTGACAACCAAACCTTAAAGATGGAGCACTCACTTGCTAGGATGATACTTGTTAATTTCTCTTCCCCTTTTACAGGGTTGCAAACAGCACATAATGCTCTCTGACAGGTTTCTGAGGAGAAGAGTCATCTTCATGTGGAACAATCTGGCTCCATCCTGGGAGTATGATTTTGATGAATATGGAACAACCTCTCCCCTGCTGTTTCTCCACTCCATTTGGGGCTGTGGAAACCACCCTCCTGAGTTACACTCCACCACGAGTCCATCACTAACAGGAACCTGGACATGAATCTGTGTCTCCAAGCCAAGTGCTGATGGAAATGAGAAAGAACCATCAAGACAGTGATTGTATTGGGGTTGGATTGGCAAGTGGAAAGGAAAAAAATCTCAATCATGTGATCTGAAATTTGAAATTCATGAATTAAATCCATATTTAATTTATAAGTTAGACCAATTGGTAACTCTGTATGGGAAGCCTTTCTCGCAAGTGATTTGAGTTATCTCCCTGGTTGGGTGAGAGACGCTCAGGCAAGCTTTGTCAGAGCCTTCCCCACCCTGTCTCAGGTGTGAGGGCTTGTCTATGTGGTGGTGTGCCTGACCACTGACCTGAAGACCAATCACTGATCCTGACCTTGGAATGCTGCCCCCCTCTACCTTCATTGGATGAAATTTTACACTGAATTTTTTTGTTCCCCAATAAAAGCTCACTCTCTGGCATGTTCTCTCTCTCTTGCTGGCCTCTCTTGTTAACCTCACTACCTCATTAGGTGGCTGGAGGCAGGAGCTAGGAGGAGCTGTCTCTGAGCTTGGCAAATAAGGTAACTAGAGTCATGTCTCTTTAATTTTAAACTCACTAGTTGATTTTTATGCTTTCAAACCTCTATTATGAAGCTAGCATGCTGGTCACATGGCTGAACTCTGTAATGACTACTTACTGCAGAGTGTATTTTTGAAGTAGCTATGAGTACTTATAATACCTAAATTTTTTTTAGAATATGAAAAAATAAAAAGCATTGAGATAATTTTCCTCATATTTCAACTTATTATGTCAAAACAGCTTTGTTAAACAATGTTCCACAAGCACGCTGACCTGCCACATGTAGGTTCATGCCAGCTGCATCACTGAAGTCAGTGCCTTTAAATGAACACCTGTATGGTCCATTATCAGAAATGCTGACACTATGAATTTTGAGGGTCACTTTACTCTCCCCCATGGCCTCTTTCACAAACTCTGTGTGATTTACATATTCAGGGGCAACTTCTCCATTTACTTCATGACCGCCTCTGTATAAATGAACAAGCCTGAAATTGTCACCTCTGAACCAGCGCACCTCCATGTGCTCTGCGCTTTGTTGTGGGGACAACTGGCAGCTGAGAGCAGCCTGTCCTCCTATTCTAGCCACCAAGTGCCCCTTGGGAACAGTCACCATCAGTTTCTCTGTGCAAGAAGAAAGAAAACCAAAATAAGTCATAAATCAGTAACAACCCTGTTGCTAGATACTACAAAATTCTTCCCAGCAGACCTAAGCTGATCTAAATGTCCATCTCTAATTACATTCTCTTCAACTTAAACCAATATTTTATTGTTTGGTAAGCCCAATGCTACTTCACTAGACTTTCAAAAGTATATTCTTTTGGAAGATTCTGGGACATGGTGGAATAGGAAGCAACAGCAAACTGACTCCCCACCCCAATAATTGTATGGGCAGCATCTATCTTGTATAAATATTTGGAAACTCTGAAGCCTATTTGTCTCACAACTTCCAGGAAAAGGCTTGGGTGGTAAATTATGATTGATTTCAGTAAAATTCAACTTTTATCACAGTCCAGCTATCTGCCCCTATCCTCAGTCCCTTGGTAGTCAGTTGTTCATGTGTTTCTAAAGCAGTCTGAACATAACTTGTGGGAGTCAAGTGGGCAAAAAAAAAAAAAACTTTATCTTCCAAGCATTGGGGTGTCTGTGCTATAATCTGATTACTGCCTCTGATCACAGAAGTGCAGACAATGAAGTAGTTGGTCATCATGATTTTCCGTCTGGTTGCAAGGCTCCTCCTTTTCCAACCAAGGTGACATCCAGGGTATTTAAAAGCCTCTTTTCTCTTCAGTTTTCTCTTTTTGTGGGGGGGATGGGGGGTGTTGGTACCAGACAGTCAAGACTGGGACATTCAAAAGCAATTGGGAAGAATTATACAGTGTAGGCACATGCCTAAAGAAAGGCACAGACTCATAAAAGACCCAAGGAAACCTTAAGCTTATACTTTAGGGTGAACCTTATCACAAAAATAATTTATAAGAAGCAAAAAGCCCAAAGCATTAAACAAATATGGTTCAAAAACATGCAATTCCTTGAGGAAAGACAAAAGTGTTGAACAAAAGTAAACAAAGCTCAAGGGACATGTGGGACATCATTTATCAGACCAACACATGATGCATTGTAGGATTTCCAGAAAGAGAACAGAGAGTGAAAAGGGAAGAGCATCTCAGATAATGTCTTTCATCAAATTTAGGAAGTTTTCAGCCATGATTGTTTCAGGAATATTCTGAAAAGAAGAAACAAAAGTGGCCCACAGGTAATTTTAAAAATGTTCTATATCATTATCCATGAGTAAAATATAAATCAAAACTACAATGAGACATCATCTCAGTCCAATTAAAATAGCTGTTTTGTAAAATAAAAAATAAGAGCTAGTGAGGATGGAGAGGGAAAGTAACTCTCACACATTGCTGCTATGAATTTAAATTAGTAGAGCCATTATTATGAACAGTATGGAAGTTCCTTAAATAGAATATTGTTCAGTTATAAACATAAATGAAATTTCATCATATTTCAGCCAAATAGATGAAACTGGAGATACTGTTGAGTACAATAAACCAGACACAGAAAAGTACCATATGCTCTCTCTTATATCTAAAAGGTTAAAAAAATGTTTGTTTGAATGCAGAATAGTGATCAGTAGAGGTTGGGAAGGGTAGGGAGAAGAATAAGGGAGGACAGATTTAGTCAGTGCATGCTATAAGCGTGCATTGAAATGTCACACCAAATTGATGGTGGAATGTGATAGACATTATTATCCAAAGTACAGGGTATGAAGTCACAAATTGGTGTGAATATACTTTGTATACAACCGGAGATATGAAAAAGTGTGCTCTATATGTTTAAAATAAGAATTGTAATGCATTCCTCTGTCATATACAAATTTTAAAAATTAATTAAAAAAGAAATGTCACACCAAATTGAATTAATAGCAGGGTCTCAGAGATATTTGTACATCCATGTTCATAGTGACATCATTCACACTTAAATGGAGAAACCCATGTGTCCATCAATGAATGAATAAATATAAATGTATAATACCCTCAAAAATACAAGAATTGCTTTACAAAACTAAAAAAAGGAGATTTTAGTATAACTTTTCAATGAGAAAATCTAGTAGAACCGCATTCCAGCAGAACCTTATTTGTCCAAGGAGAACAACCTGAATAACCGCCTGACTAGACTTTCACTGCCCTGTGCAAATCCACACAGAGCGCCAGAGAGACTCTCAGAACTGCTTTCAGTGTGTGGTACCTTCAGTGCAGCGATGCCCTGTGGGTATGGATCTAAGAGGTAGTGTGAGAGCAAGGAGTCAGTGACAACCAGACAAATCCTCGGTCGCATATGCTCCATTAACCATCTCACAGAAGTCAAACTCTGTCTTTTTTCTCCCTCTCTATTTTCATTACAATCTCCTCCCATCTTTTCCAAGTAAATTCCTTTAGGCAATTTTGACCACATATAACTCTGTTTATATATTTTTGCATCTGCTACCATGGAGACAGTTCTTTCACTGAAGCTCACGACAGTGTTCCCCTCTCAACTTGAGGTCACAACTAGGTCATTTGATAAGTCTAAGCCATTGGTACATTCTTGATATAAAGCCTAATGATTTTTCAATATTTACAAATCATTTTTGAATCTCCAACCATAAAACACATCATTTTAGAAAGTTATTTTATAGGGCTATCTTTGTTACTTTGACCTCAAGATTTTGTTACAAAAATTGGTTATTTTTTCTAAATTTGTAATAGTATGAAAAAGTTTAAATAGAAAGAGAAGTATATATTCAATAGAGTTAATAACACAACTCTAAAACTGACCTAACAGAGTTTCTTGGGGGTAGTTTACACACACACACACACACACACACACACACATATATATATATATAATTTTTAATATAAATTTATATATATTTATGTGTATAAATATATATAAATTTATAGATAAATTTTTAAGATTTCTTTTTTATTCTTTCGTAGAATTCATATCACTCTACTTACATTATTCAACTGTTCGTAAATTTTATCTACTCTTTTTTCATTAGGCCCCATAGCATATTAATAACAGTTGTTCTAAAGTTGTGGTCTGATAATTCCCACATCCCCATCATATCTGAATCTGGTTTGTTCTCTTTCTTCAAACTATGGATTTGCCTTTTAGTATATCTTGCAATTTTTTTGTGGAAAGCCAAATATAGTGTATGAGTAAGAGAAATTCTGGTGAAGGCTTTTTAGTGATGAGGTGACAGAGTCTGGGGGGAGGAGAGGCATTCTGTGGTTCTCTGGTTAGATTTCAGTTTGGGTCAGCCTGTGCTCTTGGGCGGTGAGCTTCCTGAGTGCTTCTCTGCATGCTGCCCCCTCTTAAGTGGGACAAGATGGATAGAGGAGCCTGGAGTTAGATATTTCCTTTCCCCCAAGTTATTTAGGTTATGGAACTCCAAAAGGTTGGGCTCTGGCAAAATAGTTTCTCTTAAAGACAGTGCTTATTTAAGACAAGTATGTACCAGAATTATTACTTTTCTCTTCTTCCTACTAGAAGCACAAAGAAATTTTCACCAATCATTTACTGTAAGAACCTAGTGGAAACCCCGGAGGTAAAAGGCACAAGTGTCCTGCCTGCCCTGGGCTTCTCTGGAGTCTTTGGCTCGGACAGGCCCACACCTAACCTCTAGCAATTGAAGAATTACAGTTTAGATTTTCCTATCCTGGTACTGATTTCCCCAGAGGTTTCTGCTTACGGATTTCTGCTCTAGTAGATTTCTGCACATGTTTGTCTCTCTGATTTGGGGATCAATGGTTTGCCCTGTCATCTCACTTTTCATGGATCTAAGAAGAGTTGCTGATTTTCATTTGTTTATCAATATTTCTCTTGATATTACAATGAAGTGTTAACTTTAAGCTCCCCCCAAAAGTTAACAGGACACTAGATTTTTTCTACAGCTGAGACTGATGTGGAAGAAGTAGATGTTCTTACCTGAAGTTAATGTCATCATTTGCAAGAGAATCAAGCACATACAGTATCCAGAAAGGTAGGAGGATGTAGGCTCCATCATATCTGGAAAAAAGACTGGAATAAAGTCACAAATTGTGAGATACAATGCAGAGATTGCATGAATATATAAGATTTAATCAAGATTATAAACAGGGATGACCTCAGACTCTTTCTTTTTACAAATCGACCTTTCTTTTTTTTTTTTTTAGCACTTTATTTTTTTTTTAAATTTTTTATTGTGGGTTGTTCAAAACATTACAAATTTCTTGACATATCATATTCCACACTTTGATTCAAGTGGGTTATGAACTCCCACCTTCACCCCATACACAGATTGCAGAATCACATCAGTTACACATCCATTGATTTACATATTGCCATACTAGTGTCTGTTGTGCTCCCCTGCCTTTCCCATCCTCCACCCTCCCCCCTCCCCACCTCTCCCCTCCCCTCCCCTCCTCTCTCTCTACCCCCTCCACTGTATAACCCTGAGGGTCTCCTTCCATTACCATGCAATTTCCCTTCTCTCTCCCTTTCCCTCCCACCTCTCATCCCTGTTAAATGTTAATCTTCTTCTCCTGCTCTTCGTCCCTACTCTGATCTTAGTTACTCTCCTTATATCAAAGAAGACATTTGGCATTTGTTTTTTAGGGATTGGCTAGCTTCACTTAGCATAATCTGCTCTAATGCCATCCATTTCCCTGTAAATTCTATGATTTTGTCATTTTTTAATGCAGAGTAATACTCCATTGTGTATAAATGCCACATTTTTTTATCCATTCGTCTATTGAAGGGCATCTAGGTTGGTTCCACAATCTTGCTATTGTGAACTGTGCTGCTATGAACATCGATGTAGCAGTGTCCCTGTAGCATGCTCTTTTTAGGTCTTTAGGGAATAGACCAAGAAGGGGAATAGCTGGGTCAAATGGTGGCTCCATTCCCAGCTTTCCAAGAAATCTCCATACTGCTTTCCAAATTGGCTGCACCAATCTGCAGTCCCACCAGCAATGTACAAGTGTACCCTTTTCCCCACATCCTCGCCAGCACTTGTTGGTGTTTGACTTCATAATGGCTGCCAATCTTACTGGAGTGAGATGGTATCTTAGGGTGGTTTTGATTTGCATTTCTCTGACTGCTAGAGATGTTGAGCATTTTTTCATGTACTTGTTGATTGACTGTATATCCTCCTCTGAGAAGTGTCTGTTCAGGTCCTTGGCCCATTTGTTGATTGGGTTGTTTGTTCTCTTATTGTCTAATTTTTTGAGATCTTTGTATACTCTAGATATTAGGGCTCTATCTGAAGTGTGAGGAGTAAAGATTTGTTCCCAGGGTGTAGGCTCCCTATTTACCTCTCTTATTGTTTCTTTTGCTGAGAAAAAACTTTTTAGTTTGAGTAAGTCCCATTTGTTGATTCTAGTTATTAACTTTTGTGCTATGGGTGTCCTATTGAGGAATTTGGAGCCCGACCCCACCGACTGTAGATCGTAGCCAACTTTTTCTTCTATCAGACGGCGTGTCTCTGATTTGATATCAAGCTCCTTGATCCATTTTGAATTCACTTTTGTGCATGGCGAGAGAAAGGGATTCAGTTTCATTTTGTTGCATATGGATTTCCAGTTTTCCCAGCACCATTTGTTGAAGATGCTATCCTTCCTCCATTTAATGCTTTTAGCCCCTTTATCAAATATAAGATAGTTGTAATTTTGTGGATTGGTTTCTGTGTCCTCTATTCTGTACCATTGGTCCACCCTCCTGTTTTGGTACCAGTACCATGCTGTTTTTGTTACTATTGCTCTGTAGTATAGTTTGAAGTCTGGTATCGCTATACCGCCTGATTCACACTTCCTGCTTAGCATTGTTTTTGCTATTCTGGGTCTTTTATTTTTCCATATGAATTTCATGATTGCTTTCTCTATTTCTACAAGAAATGCCATTGGGATTTTGATTGGCATTGCATTAAACCTATAGAGAACTTTTGGTAATATCGCCATTTTGATGATGTTAGTTCTGCCTATCCATGAACAGGGTATATTTTTCCATCTTCTAAGATCTTCTTCTATTTCTCTCTTTAGGGTTCTGTAGTTTTCATTGTATAAGTCTTTCACCTCTTTTGTTAGGTTGATTCCCAAGTATTTTATTTTTTTTGAAGATATTTTGAATGGAGTGGTTGTCCTCATTTCCATTTCAGAGGATTTGTCGCTGATATACAGGAATGCCTTTGATTTATGCGTGTTGATTTTATATCCTGCCACTTTGCTGAATTCATTTATTAGCTCTAATAGTTTCTTTGTAGAGCCTTTTGGGTCTGCTAGGTATAGAATCATATCATCTGCAAATAGTGATAATTTAATTTCTTCTTTTCCTATTTTTATGCCTTTAATTTCTTTCGTCTGTCTAATTGCTCTGGCCAGTGTTTCGAGAACTATGTTGAAGAGAAGTGGAGAGAGAGGGCATCCCTGTCTTGTTCCAGATTTTAGAGGGAATGCCTTCAGTTTTTCTCCATTCAGAATGATGCTAGCCTGAGGCTTAGCATAGATTGCTTTTACAATATTGAGGTATGTTCCTGTTATCCCTAGTTTTTCTAGAGTTTTGAACATAAAGGGATGCTGTACTTTGTCAAATGCTTTTTCCGCATCTATCGAGATGATCATATGGTTCTTATTTTTAAGTCTATTGATGTGGTGAATAACATTTATTGATTTCCGTATATTGAACCAGCCTTGCATCCCAGGGATGAATCCTACTTGATCATGGTGTACAATTTTTTTGATATGTTTTTGTATCCGATTCGCCAGAATTTTGTTGAGGATTTTTGCATCTAGGTTCATTAGAGATATTGGTCTGTAGTTTTCTTTCTTTGAAGTGTCTTTGTCTGGTTTAGGTATCAGGGTGATGTTGGCCTCATAGAATGAAGTTGGAAGTTCTCCCTCTTTTTCTATTTCCTGAAGTAGCTTGAAAAGTATTGGTATTAGTTCTTCTTTAAAGGTTTTGTAAAATTCTGCCGTATACCCATCCGGTCCTGGGCTTTTCTTAGTTGGTAGTCTTTTTATGGTTTCTTCTATTTCCTCAATTGATATTGGTCTGTTTAGGTTTTCTATATCCTCCTGACTCAATCTGGGCAGATCATATGACTTAAGAAATTTATCTATGCCTTCACTATCTTCTAATTTATTGGAGTATAAGGATTCAAAATAGTTTTTGATTATCTTCTGTATTTCTGAAGGGTCTGTTGTGATATTGCCTTTTTCATCCCGTATGCTAGTAATTTGAGTTCTCTCTCTTCTTCTCTTCGCTAGCATGGCTAAGGGTCTGTCGATTTTGTTTATTTTTTCAAAGAACCAACTTTTAGTTTTGTCAATTTTTTCAATTGTTTCTTTTGTTTCGATTTCATTAATTTCAGCTCTGATTTTAATTATTTCTTGCCTTCTACTTCTTTTGCTGTTGTTTTGCTCTTCTTTTTCAAGGATTTTGAGATGAAGTATGAGATCATTTATTTGTTGTTTTTTTCTTTTTTTAAGGAATGAACTCCAAGCAATGAATTTTCCTCTTAGAACTGCTTTCATTGTGTCCCATAGATTCCGATATGTTGTGTCTGTGTTTTCATTTATCTCTAAGAATTTTTTTAATTTCCTCCTTGATGTCTTCTATAACCCATTGATCATTCAGTAACCTATTGTTCATTCTCCAATTGATGTATGCTTTTTCCTTCCTTCTTTTATCGTTGATTTTCAGTTTCATTCCATTATGATCAGATAAGATGCATGGTATTATCTCTACTCCTTTATATTGTCTAAGAGTTGCCCTGTGACATAATATATGATCTATTTTTGAGAAGGATCCATGTGCTGCTGAGAAAAAAGTGTAACTGCTTGATGTTGGGTGGTATACTCTATATATGTCAATTAGGTCTAGGTTATTAATTGTGTTATTGAGTTCTACAGTTTCCTTATTCAACTTTTGTTTGGAAGATCTGTCCAGTGGCAAGAGAGGTGTATTGAAGTCTCCCATGATTATGGTATGGTGGTCTATGAGACTCTTGAACTTGAGAAGAGTTTGTTTGACGAACATAGCTGCACCATTGTTTGGGGCATAAATATTTATGATTGTTATGTCTTGTTGGTGTATGGTTCCCTTAAGCAGTATGTAGTGTCCCTCTTTATCCCTTTTGATTAACTTTGGCTTGAAATCTATTTTATTTGATATGAGTATGGACACTCCTGCTTGTTTCCGAAGTCCATATGAGTGATATGATTTTTCCCAACCTTTCACCTTCAGCCTATGTATGTCTTTTCCTATCCAATGCGTCTCCTGTAGGCAGCATATTGTTGGGTCTTGTTTTGTGATCCATTCTACTAGCCTGTGTCTCTTAATTGGTGAGTTTAAGCCATTAACATTTAGGGTTATTATTGAGATATGGGTTGTTCACAAATCGACCTTTCTCAGTGTTCAGTAAAGTAACCATGTTCCCTCACATTGTTCTGATCAAGAGAGGGAATGAATATGGGAATCACAAAGGCACAGGAGACAAAACGTGCATGATAACGTAAGAAGAGTGTTTAGGGATTCATGAGTTTGAACAGCTGAAACCAAGTTTGGTTGAACTAAAACACCTTGTTAAAAGTTCTATATGTCAGATGAATGGATAAAAAAATGTGGCATTTATACACAATGGAGTATTACTCTGCATTAAAAAATGACAAAATCATAGAATTTACAGGGAAATGGATGGCATTAGAGCAGATTATGCTAAGTGAAGCTAGCCAATCCCTAAAAAACAAATGCCAAATGTCTTCTTTGATATAAGGAGAGTAACTAAGATCAGAGTAGGGTCGAAGAGCATGAGAAGAAGATTAATATTAAATAGGGATGAGAGGTGGGAGGGAAAGGGAGAGAGAAGGGAAATTGCATGGAAATGGAAGGAGACCCTCAGAGTTATACAAAAGTACATACAAGAGGAAGTGAGGGGAAAGGGAAAAATAATACAAGGGGGACAAATGAATGTCAGTAGAGGGGGCAGAGAGAGAAGATGGGAGGGGAGGGGAGGGGAGGGCGGATAGTAGA